CAAAGTTGGGCTGACAGACCCATAGCCTGCAGGTCAGCAAAGGCTACTCTCTGACATTCGGAAATGCATCCCCCCTTTACACTAATCAATTGTATTGCTGAAGGAAAACTGGCAAGTTGGGCCGCTGCATTGTGTGTGAGAGCAGCGGCCTGACTCCCAACATTCTGCCACCACAGACTATTTTACCATTTTTGAAGTAAAACGTGAAAAAGACCAGATGTTTATTTCTGTTTATGCTGCCTGCCTGCAGTGCTGTAATAGTGAGGGTTCGTTTGGGCCTCAACATGTGTGATGCCTCAATTTTAGTCTGCTCTTATGTGCAAATAAATGTAATGAACAGAAACCTGTCAATTGAAAAATAAATACAAAAAACTGGGAGTGCTTTGTTTTCTCTACAGATTGTATTTATTTATTTGTCTGGTGACATTCTTTGCAAATATTTGATACTAAAATTGCATTCGGAACAGTCTAGAGCGAAGTATGTTTCTCATTTATTTCAACAGTCGGCTCTCACTGTTTGTTTAATGTATGCCCAGTAGGGCCTTTTCACTGAACGGCTTTAAATACTCCTGTATATGCATTAGATTGCATAGTAATGGCGCGCTACAGGCTGCTAGCTCCAGTTTCTCGCCGAGATTTGTGAAGTGCTTGAAATCAACAGAAAGCGTTTCAAAGATTGGTTGGCACTTCTGCTTCAGATCCAGGTGGCAAGCACTGACAACTCCGTGTCACATGGTGGCTGTCTGTGCCTGCTTTTCTGTTTGTCTGGCCTGCTTCTCAGGAGAACACATGCAGCCTGCTGCTCCCAAGAATGTCACCCATGGAGGTGGGGGATAAGCAGGGACAGAATTACAGCAAAGGCATCTTCATTTTGCAGCCTCCGAGCTCCCTTTTTACATTGATCTGTCTGACACTTTTTGGCCGAGGACACGCACGGTCTCATCTGCCAAGAGATCATAGTCAGGTGGTTGAAGAGACATGAGATTTGTTTAAGAAGTGACAGAGAAACAGCTGGCACACGGCTCGGTCAGCACAGAGTTTTGGCCCTGCTAACTAGCAGAGTCCTAGGGTGTCTTGAGTTAGCATCACGCACGAGAATCAAAGACTGTTTGCAGCCTCTCAAGAATCAATGGCTCTTGGTGTGAAAGTAAAGACTTTACCGCTGGCAGCAGATGTTTTGAAGGTGTCTCTTCTGATGTGGATGGTGCCGTGCAGCTTAAAACACAACATGGACAGTGTATTCAAGCTGCAGCTCTCCATTTATCACATGCCAACCTTTTTGTTTTGGTTTAATCGGTTGGCTGCTGCGTGATTTTTTCTTTTTCTTTTCTTTTGTCAATTCGATTGCCTCTTCTTTTTTTTTAAGGGAAGCTGTATGCAAGACAAGATGCAGTGCAGGTACTCTAAACATCACTGATCTTTATAGATTGTAATATTGCAAGTGTATAGTGTGTGGATTCCACTTGGCTGTATACAGACTACCATTTATTTTTACTTGCATATATCTGGTATTTTAACATAACATTTTCTACGCGTTTTGAAATAATGTTAATCTGGCAATTTTGTAAATTTAATTTTTTTTTCTTCATTACTGAAATATTCATTACTAGCAGTTATGTAATGTGTGATTAAATCAATGGAGTATGACCTTTTAGGCCTGATTTTCTGAAAAAAAAAGTGTGTTTTCCATAGCAACCAATCAAATTCCATATTTTTTGCATCATATTCCCATTTTTGGCCTGAATTAAAGCAAAAAATCTTTACTTGTAGCAGTCTCATCCTTTCTCATTTCATATTGGAATGTATGCTGTGAACATTTGTAATCTGTAGTTTAAGCCCTGAGTCTTTGTGGCATTAAAAATGCCCAGGCAATGTCTAAACGGCACTGTTCATTCTGGAAAGATACTGAACAAGACTGATAGCTGTTGAAATGCTTTAAGTCAAGTCTGGATTTAAATAAACCGAAATAAAGTGTATACATAGGAACGGGAATATTAGAAACCGCACAAACATGGCAAGCATGCAAAGTAGATAGGCTTTGAGGATCTATAAATACAGCAAGTGCGTAGATTCTTTAAAAATAGTCTGTAGATTTGTCTGTTGGGACACGGGGTTTATACCCGAAGTGGCACAGTTATACATACTTGAGAACACTGCGCTTACCGCACGCAACATGGAGCATGTTCTGAAAAAGAATTCCAAGAAGTCAGACGTGTATATTGCTGGAAAGCCAGTCTGGACAGGCTTTGATAAAACCGCTTTGTGTGGTCACAGGAGATAACTGCAGAGTGAAGCTTTGCGCTGGCTTCTCTAGAAGTTCAGTGACGAGAGTTGCTGGTCACAGACTGGGGACCAGAACTAGGTACTCAGTGAACAGCACTGGTGTAATAAAATACTATCCGTTCATTCAGTAAAAGGATTGTTACTTTAGTCCGTGCTAACAGTTGGCAAAATTCCTTCTAGCGTTCAACGAAAAAAGATGTGATTCAGGATAGGGTCACACCTAAGCGATTTATCTGCACGATATCGCACAAAACAGAGATTTGCATTCAAGTCTATGGAAGCTGTTCACACGTTTTGCGATTTGTCGTGCAGTAGAAATCGCCTGTCGCGCAAAAAGGTGCACAAGCTATTTTTCAGGTGGTTATCGTGCAGTTTGGGTCCCATGGACCCCTCTTTTTCTATGGGGAGCTAATTGTACAGTGGAAGCAGCTGCTCGTTTAATACAAGTGATCTAATCAGATCACTTGTATCAAACTGAGCGGCAGCGATTGTGTCCGGGCCCCCCCCCGCCGTTGTTTTTTGGGGTGCCCCGCTCCTCTGGGGACCCATGACTACGGCATAGGAGCTGACCATAGAGCCCCTAGAGCAGACGAAGAACGTCTGTTTGTCGTCTGCTCTGTGTGATCACTGAGACCGTGGCGCTGTAATCGCAGCGCCACCTGTCTCAGCTGTCACTAAGTACAGCTGCTGTCGCAGGACCTCCCTGCGTCCTATGGACCGGTGCGCCTTTATGGAGCGCCAAATACGGTACTTGTTTTGAGCACATCTGCCTTTATTCCCCATGCGGACCCAAATTAATATCAGCCCTGTACAGTAAGCTCAATGCCTTGAAGAATCTTTTAATTTTATATGCCTAATTTACATGCCTACCCTACTAAATGGTAGACGGATCATGATTTATGTTGGACTACTGACAACTGGAAAAGGGTATGGGAAAATCTCTAAATGTTCACTAAATGTAACAAACTTAGAAGTGGCTTATAAAGTCCTATTCAGATTGTACTTAGTCCCCACCCGCTTAGCAAAACTGTTCCCTTCCTCATCTGATAAATGCTTTTGCGGATGCCCGTCTCCCGGAGACATGCTGCACGCTTGGTGGTCTTGTCCATTTGCTTCCCGCTTTTGGACTAGGATCTACCAATTGTTATCCCGTATATTTTAACAAACGCATCTCTAAGAGCCCAACGCAAGCCCTGTTATACATGCATTGGTGCCTGGCTTAACTAAGTTCCAGGGTCCCCTGACGCATCAAATATTCACTGCAGCCAAATTGACCATAGCCGGGAATTGGAAAAAGCAATTTATCCCTTTCTGGGAGTTTACCCAGAGAATGGATAACATTTATGCTGAATTAATGGTTGGCATACATTCTAGCCGATAACCGAATTAGGTTTTTAAATATTTGGGAACCATGAATATTGCACCAGCACCCTACCTTTTAGATACCCATACCCTTCAGTGCCTGTGATGAGGCCGGGCTTCTAGTGATCAATGAAGGAGAACATGCTCCAGACCTGGGATGGAACTACTGACCTGTACCAGAAACATTGTAATACCGACCATCAGATGGACATTTTCCTTGTCTTACTTTGTTTCTTTTCAATTTTCTTTATTTTATTGTACTTTAATTGACGCAATTGTATATGAATCTGAAATTATACTGTAACGGTTGTACTTCGCTTTGCAAGCGACACCTTATGCACTCAAATACTATGTACAGTGCCTTGTTTTTTTTCTATGTGAAATTAATAAAAAATAGTTACAAAAAAGAATTACACTTTTTTCTACTTACTGGAATGTGATCCTTTTTTGGCCTTGGTACCTTCATGTTAAGTAAGGAGATACATTGTGCATTAGGTGCCAGAATGTCCAATTTGGAAGCATTGGTGTCATACCCCTTGGAGATTCTGAGTAAACTGCATTAATCGACCAGAGTTCATGAAATATACTTTTTTTTAAATGTAAAACTGCAAGAAGTTTTATTCCAATTATACAGTGGCGGAACTACCAGGGTCGCAGAGGTCGCAGCTGCGACCGGGCCCTGGAGTTCCGCCACTTGGAGGGTGCCTAGGACAGGAGCAAGGGGCCCCTGGTAACCGCTGATTACCAGGATATTTAATACCCCAATAACCGCTATCGGCCTGCCCCTTCATGGATTCTTGCATCAGGGCCCTGAGGTCACTAGTTGCGCCTCTGCAATTATACAATCTTAGTTTGCAAAGTCAGAACTGAACCTGGGCAACATCTCTTTTAGTAAGGCCATTTTTTATGTAGCACTTCTTCTGACTTCAAAGATATGTTAAGGGAAGTTACTCCTAATAAACAGTTTTAGCAAGTTGTCAAACGGGGCTGAAGGTCCAACATAGTTTGTTTCTGAGATCTTCAGATTGCCCAATCTGAAATATATTAGGATTAATTGTTGCTTTTCTTCCTTTTGGAAGGTAAACCCAGATTGGATACGATGCATAATCACTCCCTTGTTACAGTTTGCTGTGCTCCTCTTTTTGTGAATCAGCTTGGTTATCTGTTGGAATCCTCCCTAAAGCTGTGGCAAGTCAGCACCACATTTAAACGGGGTTGAAATCCTTGTGTGCAATTATCTAATAACTTGTGTGTGGAAAAAAAATACAATTCTGTTGATTTTAGCAATAAGAATATATAGTCCTATTTCTGTAACAGTTTTGTCCCAGATAACCAAAACTGTCATTTATTTATAGCTGGCCATCATATGAGTATGATCCAAGCCAAATCCGCTTGATTGTGTACCAGGACTGCGAGAAGCGAGGACGAAATGTCTTGTTTGACTCCAGTGCCAAGCGTAAGACTGAGGATCTGTCTGTGTCGGTAAGCTGTCTTTGTTCATAATTTGATTACGTTATTAATAATGCCCTGGAGAATACATCTTGATTAGAGCAGAGCGATTATTCAGGGTCCTGCATGTATTACATCACTTGACCCAGTCATGGCTTAGTTCACAATGTATGACCAAGTTTTATGTAGTTTTTTTTTGTTTCCCTGGAAGCAAATCTATGTGTATTTCTAATGCACAAGGAACGATTCTGAGAATCTGAGTGCCGCTTTCAGCATTGTTGGAAGAATGTCCCCTAATGTCCATGTATGACCGTTTGTAAACACTTTGAAAGTAATTGGATTTATGCATAAATGGTTTTAAAGTAAATCTTTACCCACTGCAAATGTAAAGTAGACTTGTCCTCAGTTATGTCCTACATTGCCTCAGGAAACCCTATTTTATGTAAGCCCTAATATGAAATTACAGTCAGTTACTGCTTGACCCACCTATTCTACCTCCCAAGCTTTGTACTGGACAGTGGGCTCACACTTCTCACACCACTCATTGATTAAAGTGAAACTTCAGCTTTGTAACTAAAACTATGAATGCTTAAGTAAATACCTCCTAAACTCGGTCCTGTAATCCATTTTGCTTTTCAGGACTGTAAATGCAATAATTAAATCCTATAGGGTCAGTCTGTACAAAAATGGCATAGAAGGAATCTGCTGGCCTGTGGCTGTTTAGGGGACTCCAGTGGTAGGAGCTCGATTAATGGTCACTGGCTCTGTTCCTACTCCCCTTGGAATTTTGAGTGTTCCTTCTTACCATTTTTGGGATTTTCTCACTTCTTCTGTTGCATTCTACATAGTGGAATGTATATTAAAATAAAAAAAATCTTACTAGTTCGGACCCCTCCCTTTGTCGTTGCTGCAGAAAGTGTGTTTTACTATGGAAATAAACCAAGTATCTGTATAAGTTTACAAAGAAAAAACATTTTGTAACTGTTCATGAGGTTTACTTGAAGTTGACATTTGTGTGGTAATTCCAGGTTTAAAAAGAAAAAAAAAACAATTGGTGCGGTGTATCACACAGATGGAATAGGTCCAAATGACATGTTTTGTGTTCTTTTGCCTCTAATTTTCCTCAGCAAAAAATGGTAATATTTTGTTTTACCAGTCCAGTATTATAAGCTCCTTCGGACAGTTCCCTCCTGTTACAGCCTATTTATCTATGTAAGTACTTTGTAAGGGTGGCTGTTCACCATACAAATCAGGCCAGTAATTTGACCAATCCAAGCATAGAAGGAATCTGCTAATCTGCAATCACTGCTAAGTATAATTGTTAAGAACAAGCAATAATGAGACCTTATTTATGACAAACATTTTCTGTCAATCTTTAAAAACTGCTGTATGCTCTTAGATCTCTGTGAAATAGCTCAGGTTACCTATGTGGGCCCACTCACACAAATCTGCATTCATTGTTTATTTTTTTTTTCTCTACATTATTGAAGTGTCACAAAATTACACATCATTCAACTCTATCCCCCACAGTGTGTTGCGATACTTGCTATATTTTTATGCACCGCACCTCAACGCAGTGTTATTGTGTGAACAGGGCACATAGAAAACAATTGTTTTCTATGTGCTCTTGTGTTGACCCTGCGTTGATCAATGCAGCTCAGTGCATTTAGTGTGAACAAGGCCTTAGCCACATTGAACAACAACTTCTACATGACTGTCAGTGTACATTAGACACAGCAGGATATGGATTCAGAGTAAGTCTCCTTGTGCACTTGATCATTCTGGTTTAGTTATATTACATAATGGGCTCTCCCACTCTGCTTAGGCCAAAGTTGTACACTTGTAGCAGATAGGTGTGTTGTTTTTGAACTGGTTTTTTTTAGCATGTGATCTGTGATGAGACATTCACAACTCATGAAGTGTTCCATGACGATCATCTGAACTTTAATTGATCACATTCTTTTACAAAGCTCGCATAACTCTGTTAAACAGTGTCATTGGATGCTGAAAGTTGTAATGAATCATGGATTGTTTTAAATAAGTAATGACATTGGGATTTTTTTCCCAGCAGACTTGTCACTCTACTAATTATACCTTGTTGCATCACTTAATGTTATTTATAGGGATGCATCGATACCAGTTTTTCAGTATCAAATACGAGTACCAGAAGTTCCATTTAAGGAAGCCAGGTGGCGTGTAATGACTCACCACCTGGCTTCCTGATTAGCCTGGAAGCTGGGTGGCACGGAAAGACTCGCCTACCGGCTTCTCCATTAGCAGGGAAGCCACCTCCATGCTCCCTCGTCACCAGGTGACGAAGCATGGAGTGGGTTTTCTGGCCAATCCGGAAGCCAGGCACCATGTAATGATTCGGTGCCCGGCTTCCTGATTAGTCGAGAAGCTGGCCAATAAGAAAGCTGGGCAACGAGTTATTACACGGCGCCTGGCTTCCTGATTGGCCCGGGAAGCCGGCTATATGCCCCCTCTTCAACAAGTGACACACATTCACATTTCATATGTCTACTTCCAAAGTTGTATAGATTGTATACAAACTTGACGTGACTCAGTATTGCAGTTCTATTACTCTCAGTCTCCATTGCTCTTTATAGCACCCTGTTCTGGGTGCTATACGTGTACTGTAAACCAAGGCTGTCAAAATGTTCGCTAACTTTTTGTGCAGCCCCAATCTTTTAGATTGTAAGCTCTTACAAGTAGGGCCCTCCTCTTGCATTGAATTGTTTTGAAAAGCTGTACGGTCTCCCCTAAAATTGGAAAACACTGCACAAACTGTTGGTGCTCTATAAATCCAGTATTTTTTAATCATGATACTATATTTTCAGCAGCTCCAAATCCTGCATTTTAAGATATATGAGGAATTCTGTTTCTAAGCCTGTGTCTGCGTTTATCTGAACACAATGGCTTCACTTGACTTGGCCAAAGGTGCAGCCATCTTGCTTTTGCAGTTTGTACTGCTGCACAGGGGCCCAGTTGGATAAAGGAAAGTTACATTGGGTTACAGGGGACACATGTGGGAGGCCAGCTGGTCAGGATAGAGGGGAAAAGCTTGGAAACATAATTCGCAAACCCTTCTAAAGTTTCAGTAAGAACGTAATATGTCCGCAGTAATATGCGATTTGATCTTTCAGTTAGTTAAAATAAGAAGCACAACTAACTTTATTGGGGGTAGGCTTGGATGAATGGACCAAGACATCCCGTACGGTGGTATCCCACGTCCTCATTGCTGCTCGACTTGCCATAGCAAGAGCATGGAAACAGCCTGAACCCCCGTCTCTGCGAAATGTCATATAAATCCTAAATGCACACGCGCACTTCGAATTTCTCTTTGCAAAAGCCAACCCTAAGGGCCTGTTCACATGATTATCAGGTCCGGATCTGCAGACGCGGTGCTATGTGTTTTTGCCGCATTTTTGATGCGTTCCAGTTTGCTGGAGTGAGGCTGTCGGTATGTTAGCTGCATCGCGTTTTTTACGCGTTTTGTGTTTCCAGACCGGTTCCTGACCGGACAAAATGTGACATGCAGTATTTTTTCTGTCGTAACCTGAGCGGACTGCGCACGTGAGAACTGTAGGCCATAAAACCGATAGGGTTACTTGAATCTATGTAGCCACGGTTACCTTACTTTGTTACTCCACTATGTCTCAACGGTATCATACACTCATTTATTTCTGTAAGTATTGGAATAGCTGATGGATATGTTGCTTTTCGTACCCTTCATACTACAACTTACGCCACATGAATGCTGTTTATTTTTTTTTGTGTTTTTCCCTTATTGTATATGTACAAACCTAATAAAACTTCTTCTTGTTACAAAAAAATAAGAAGTACAATTAAAGTTACGAAAGTGAAAAGCATGTGAACCTCTAGTTGATCGACATTGAGGGTACTTGGAGTGGGGATATGGTCATTAGTCCTGTGTAAGCTTTGAGGCAGAGCTTACACAGGGATTAGACTCAAACCTCCAACAGAGGAACAGAACAGCTGGGGAATGTAGGGGAAGGTATATATCATTGGTGGTAAAGGTGCTCTGTGTCAGAGAACCTGACACTTTGCTCTCAATGGGCAAAGTGGCAGATTTTATACATGTGCTCATCTTTTAATTCTCACAAAGACATAATGCAAATAGTTCAATTGCGACCAAACTGTTGGCCTTGGGTATTAAAAATTTTGTCTGTAGAACTCAGTCAGCAGAAAGGTGTAGATACTAGTCAGCACAGATTGCCAGAGTTGTACATTTTAACTATGATTTGTAGCTTGGAAGTCGCTGACAGGTGGTATCCTGAATATGCTGACTGCTGCCCTGCAGGATTCAGCTATTCCACACTAAGGATCGTATGGCTTCGGGGAGGTGCTGCTATGTGCTTGCTGCACTTGTCTGTATAGTGACACATCACACCTTGTGACCTTGGCAAGATCTTGCTGTACCTCACTAAATAATTTATATAAAGTATATATCTCTATCTCTGGGTACGGGTGTTTAAGTTGGAATTCCCTTTGTGACATTGCTCTTTGTGTTACTGGCTCTTGTCAAGTCACTGCTCCAGACAGCTCCACTTTAATTTTTAGGCTTGGAGATCATCACCTAGTGAATGGTCCCATATTTTTAGCAGTTTTCAATTGCAAAAACAATGAAAGGGATAAAAGCTACCTTCCTCTAATGATAAGGCAATTTTACTCCATTTTTAGAAACTATTGGTGGGAAGTTGCACTCATCTGTTGTTTTTGTGACTGAAATCTGCGTGGAAATGTATGATAATTGCAGTTTTTGTGACCATTATAAGGGAACATTGCTGTTATTTTATTTGAATTTAAGGCATAGCATCTATTATCAAGGACATTGAATAAAAGCTGCTTCCATAACCTTCGAATTGCCTAAACTATATTTAATTTTCATGAAAAAAGACTCCAGATTTCCCCACACTCCCTCGTACATACTTGGCTAACCACTTCTGACAGCTTTGCTACTGCAATTCACATGGTCTGAGTTACAAAAAACTTCTTGTGCAATAGTCATG